TTAAGTATTAATGTGTAGCAATATGATCCCATATGTTAGTATATCTCGCCATTTAAAAGATGAATTCTTCTCATTTATTTTAAAAATTCACTATTAATTTCTTAAGCATAGATTAATATAAACTCTTAGATCATTTCATTGAAGGGAATTTATTATGAAAAAATCCTGAATTCTCCATCTATGATTTTTAAGAAATATGGAAAGATCTGCAACAATATTATTTAAAAATGTTGTCTCATTATAATACCAAGGAGTCTTGATTTTCTATTAATATGATGGCTTATCCCATATAGTGTAAAATAGTAAGTTTGACGTATACTTACATTCTTGCTTAAATGTGAAATACTCTGTTAGGTGTCTACATTCATGATTTCCACGAAGTAAAAACAGTGTTTTGGGGTAAAGGATTTTCAAGGCCCACAAATAGAGCACACACTGAGGAAAAAGCATAAAAATAGTACAAAAATAAATACTCCCCATTATATTTATAAATTCCATTGTTCACATATCATAAAGACACGGCACAAACATACCACTGTGAAACTCTGAAACAATACTCTGAAAACCTAGGTCTTACCAGGAGAGGGTACTGACAGCCAAACAAGACTTCTGCCCAAAGGCAAAGTTTATCCATACCTGAAATCTATGTATTTATTTAGGGACTACAAATATACCAATAATCATGAAGGCAGCAGAACCCGGAAAAGTTTCCTTCTACCATGCTTACAGTCACTGTGTTTCCGAGCCAGCTCAATGATGTCTGACATCAGCTTAGGCGATACACACCACAAGGGAAAAACAGACTGCACATAGTTCTCAGAAAATCGTTTATGTGCCCTGAAGGGAGAGGGGCTTGGTTAAAAAAAAAATGAAATAAGGAGCTTGAATGAAAGAAACACTAAAGATGAAACTACAGGGGTATGTTTAAGAAATATTGCTATAAGATCACCGGAACTTTTATTAAACAAAATATCAAAATGGGAAGCTGTTCCTTCTAAGCCTTCATGATTCTGAAACCCAGGCTTCTCTTCTCTCTCTAACCCTGCCCCGACTCTGCAGTCTTTGGATTATACCACAGCAGAGCAGCAGCTTTGGATCCGTCACGAATGAAAACTGTATTCCATAAACACGTGTTCTGAGTTTAGGGGACAAACACAAGTCTGAGGCACACCATGCGGGCTGAGTGAGCAGGTGCATTGTTGGGATGGAAAACCCAGTTTTCCTGGCCTTTTTCATACCAGTGTTCATTTTCTTTAAATGTCTTGATAATTAGCCCCAGTGACTGTTCTGTGGTCTCCAAGAAATTTTAACAAGATTATTCCATGGGAATCTAGAAAAACAATCGCTCTAACCTTCCGAGCTGACCTCCCTGCCTTGAATTTAACTGGCTAAGGAGATTCCTCTGCAGGCCAAAGTTTTATTGGACTAAGGCACAGCAGACCCAAGCCAGGGTATTTTTGATGGGCTCACATGCCTTGAAAGTTAGGTATTGAATAAAGAAGATCAAAGAATATTGACGTATGTGAACTATGGTGTTGGGGAAGAATACACAAAGTACTGTGGCGTGCCCAAAGAACAAACAGACGGGTTGGGAATTTGGAACATGCGTAAGTACAGGGAGAATTCTCCTGAGAGGCAAGAAAGGAGAAACTTCCCCTCTTTACTTTGGACGTGTTCTTGACCAGGCGAGAGAAGGCTCTGGAGAAGAACATCATGCTTGGTAAAACAGAGGGTGGCAAGCCTGGGCTCAACACAATCGCAACTGTGAGGGTGGCCCGGAGCACAGGGTGCTTCTTCTGTTCTACACAGGGTCGCCAAGACTCGGAACCAACTTGGAGGCACCTAACAACAACTATTTCAGCGCACCCTAAAGAGACCGTGACAAATGTGCTACTGCCAGAGCTTCTCTGCAATAGACAATATCAGAGACATGTCTAAGCACGTTTTGCTGGGGAAAAAACCCAAGCTCGCATGAACTAGAGCCCCAGTAGCAATACTTTTTGACTTACCCTCATATTTGGTATAGGAGTGAAAGAAGACTAATGTAAAAAGACACTATGCTTATAAATTATCTTAAAAGCTCTGCACTAGAAGAGCGAGAACTGGAAAGAAAAGATGAGACAAAATTAGGACTAATATTGGCCATTCTCAATTGTACTACATCCCTATTTTCTAAGGATTTCCACTCCTTCTCTAGTTCCCTACTTCTCCCCACCATTGAAATGTCTTTGGAACATCAAGATTTTTACAAGTTTTCTTGTTTAAGTAAACATACTCAATGTCAGTGCCATAAATTGAAGAATTCAGGGAATCTCAGAATCCACGGCCCTCACATTAGCCACTTGGGCATTGGCACGTATATAAAACGGAGGGCTTATTCAACACCTTTGGACTAAACCTACATCGACCCCATCTTTCTGGAAAGCGCAATAAGGTAACAAGGCCAAGCCAATACTGGCCTCCATTTCACTATTCTCTACTGGAATCTTGGTTGCACCAACGGAGAACAGAAAACCAGAATTTGAAAAACAACTACAGCTTTGATGTTCATGAAATTTAAGTTCCAGAAGTAAAGCTGAGCAGATAAAGAAACCTCAAGGATAGTGAGACAAGTATGATTCTAGTTACAGAGCATCTAACACTTTTCTGACATTTAGTGATATGTTAGGTGAAGTGCACAGCAAAACACCATTGCTAATAGCTGAGGTTCATGTGCAGAATGGCCCTCCCTTATCTCTGTTACCTTATGTAATAATTGACTAAGTCACTGGAAACTAATTATGTTTGGATACACATGTAGTCCAAGAGTGGGAGGAAACGCTCATTATCAGGAGTGTGGTTTATTTAGCTGTTCAAGGATGGTGTCTTCTCTGTGTAATTATGATGAAAACAAACAAAAATAATGTGGTAACATTAAATTTTATATGTCACTATAAAATCTTTTAAATTACACATTTTTTTGACTATGGTTAGTAGCTAAAGTTCATGTGGAAAAATATGAAAAGTTGAGCAAATAGTCTCATCAAGTGAAGCTTGAAGCATTCATGACCTGTGATACAGGTAAATGTCCCTGTTATTCTAGTAGGTGGTCCAGTAGCTCAGGGATGCTCCAATTGCTATGTACCCACTTCTAGAGGGGGGATTTACATGTTTGAGTAAGAGCAGTTTGAATTACTCAAGTTAATCTCACATGTTATTGGGAATATAAATAAACTGTTGAAGATTGCTAAAAATTTAATACTTATAAAATTGTACCTTACTCCTTCCAAACTGTTAAGGATGTTTAGCATAGGATGGATATATAATAGTTTTCCCAAATTACTTTTACATTGTGAAATTGTTTCACTTAACCTATTCTGTTTATATTTTGGAGGAATACACATTTGGCTTCATTCTGTTGTTTAGCACCACCAAGTCAATTCGGACTCGTGGATTGTATTTAAAAAGAGAAAAAAAAATTCACTGCCATAGAGTTAATAGTGACTCGTAGTGTAAGGTGACCAGACGTCCCGCTTTTGGCGGAACAGTCCTGATTTTTAACAAATTTTCCTGCGTCCTGCGGCATTTTAAAAAAGTCCCAATTTTTGGAAAGAATGCATGACAAACTAGGGTATATGGTTTTCGGCTGCCATGTGGCATTTCGCCAGGATATGAGTTTTATCAATGGTGTCCCGCTTTACCAATGTTAAAATCTGGTCACCTTATCATAGTGACACCATCGGGCAGTATGGTATCTAAGGCTGCAAATATTTCCCAGGCTGTGATCATGACAGCAGCAGGTTATCTACTGGCCCTTGATTACCACGGAGCAACTGATGGATGCAAAGCGATGACTAGTTTTCAGTTAGAAGCTGAGCTCTTAACTATTTGCACTACCCAGGCTCCTTGGTTTCACCATTGCTACTTAATTTCTCCCCAAGCTATCATTTTTATGCAGTTGAATGTACTTGTTGTAAAAGTAGGGGGTTAATTAATTTTTTTTTCTAACACATGTATTCCTTCAACAGTCCACTCTACCTAGATCAAGTTAGGGAGCCGTTTCAGTGCCCAGAAGGCTCGCTCCTTTGTGCTCCCTCCCAGCTAACAGCTGTTTGAACTCTACCTACAGTCCTGACCTCTTAGAGATTATTTTTGCCTCTAACAATTTATTCTGAATAAACTCTGTATTTATCCATGCAATTTTAAAAACCTCACTCATATATTACTAGAGAAATCACATTAAACACACACACACACACACACACACACACACGTTTTCTTTTTTTACATTTGGTAAAGATCCTTTCTAACATTAGTCTGTGCCTTTACCACCCCTAGTCTTAATTACTGCAGCTCTTTCATAACTGAAACCGGTAAGAGTGATACGGACATGTTCTATGTTAAATCTTCCTATCATACCAATTTCCCTTTTAAGCCTGTCAGTACCCATTTGATTTTCCTTGCTATTTAATGGATGCAAAGCACCCAACTTACAGTAGGAAACTTGGAACTGTTAGCTCCTTTCCTACAAAGGAACGGGGAGGCAGGAAGGAAGGAGGGAGGGATGGAGGGCAGGAAGAAGGAAATGAAGAAAGGAAATAAATAAAATTCAATTTCCCAGTGCTTGGCTCAAAATACCCCCGAATTAAGAGTTCTCTGTGCATAATTTATTTCCTTTTCCCCTGTGGCAAGAAAGAAATATCTACCCAAACAATGACTAGACCCACAAGTGCAGCCAGAATGGAAGAAGTGGCATGACGGATGAAAGGGCCAGGGCGGACTGCAGAATGCAGCTGGCAGCCTCATGCTCCACATCTGGTCAGAGAAAGCTGCCAAGCACAACTGGCTTCCTGGCAACTACTTGCCATGAAGTTCTAACGTTCTGGAAAGCTGACAGCCTTCACAAAATTATAACCTGATTGTATTTTATATTTTAAGAGAAGCCCCATCCAAAAAAAAAGTGATCACAATTAATTAAGCAATGAAATAAAATCTGGATGAATAATTGGCTGGTTTTGGTCTATGTCTTCTCAGATGACTGATTTGAATAAAATGTTCATGGAATTAATTGGTTACAGTCTAGTTGAATTGGCCTTTTTTTTTTTTTAACATGGTGAGATGCAAATTAGCTACAGTAATCACAATGAGAACTCCATCATCTTTTGATCTCTGCTTTTCATAATTCAATAGATGTTTACATTTAAAGTTAGTTTGAGTTCTGCATTA